TGACTATATATAAAGTAATTTTCCCACGGCACACCTTACACTATGTCACGGCACACTAGTGTGCCGCGGCACAGTGGTTGAAAAACACTGTCTTAAAGTAAATATTAGGCCAGTTGCAATGATTCAACCTTTACAAAACTTCAGACAACCTTCAAACAGAATGAAGTATTAAATAAACATGAACCAGAAGTCACAATATTTGAATGCATTTAAATGCTCTCTGAAATCCAGCATATGACAAATGTCAAACACCCAAACTTTACCTACAACTTGGTGTTCATGTGTGCATGTACCAGGTGGATCTTTAAGGCAGATTGTATCATAACAAGCAAGAAAAAAAATCTAAAACCAATTATTAAAATGGGGTTTTCTTCCCAAGAAATTTTAAAAAAAATCCAGAGTGGTTTCCTTTTATGGAAATTTCACTCTGGAAGGGAAGGGTGAATCTCTCCCCGTTCCCCACTTCAGATTACCTCTGCTTCATACTTTCTATTTTTAATTATGTGTACCAAGCAAAGATGCATTTAATATAACCTGCAGCTGGATCCTCAGTGCCTGCTCTTTTCAGCTACAACTGCTTTTGCCCAGGAACTGGAAGAGGGCAAATGAATAGAGCTGACAAAAAGCTCACTGTTGGTCTCTAAAGTGTTTTCCAAATCAGAAATGTTATTCCCTTATTCCAAAGGAATGATGCATTTGAGAGTGTGGTGAGTGATTGCTTGAAAATAACACAGGGCAATTTTCTTTCTTTCCTCGATCTCTCATCTGGATAGCTACCACAAATCACTAGCTGGTCTTGCTTCTTTCATTCTCTGCCTTCTTTCCTAGTAAGTTGTCATAGTCGGCGTTGTTTATCCCCAAAGCAGATGCCCTGCCTGGCTACACGTATACAGACCCCGTGCGCATAGCTCAGATGGCTGCAGAAATGTTACACTAGGCACTGTGTTCTGCAGAAGGCAGAATCTGCTGGTAAGTGATTATGCACCAACCATCGAAGCTCTCATACGAAATGTTAGCAAGAGGACCAGAGAAAGGTGAAATCAGTGGAGCTGAGGGTGGCAGTGATAAACTTCTCAGAATGCCTGGCAATTAATCTTGTGTTGAGAGAGGATCTGAGAGCCACAACCCAGTCCTTGGCAATGAAACACACTACCAGCTCCAGCTCCAGGGAGTTAATCTCATTGTTGGGAGCTTTCAAATGCCATCAGGCTTAGAGAGATATTAATTCTGAGAAAGAGAAAATGAAGGAGGCACATCCGAGGGGTACCCTTCTCACTGAGGTGTGTGCACAGGCTGACAGTAGCTGCCTTGAGTCCAGCAACCAAATATGAGAAAGATTTGTTCAGGATTTTTCTTGGGAATTTGAACAAGAGCTTTCAGAAGGAAATCAAAAGATTGAAAATAAGAAAAATAACACTCAGGGGTCAGAGGAAAGAGATGACACTTGTGAACAGTATACATTAGTAGTTACTGTTTTTATACAATCATCGCCCCATCTTGAAAAGATTGCCCTTAATGCTGGCAAGATTCCCCGAAGCACAAGTGCTTTGCCTCACTTACAGTATCTTTCACATACAGTAACTACAGGCGCAAATGCAGTTTTCACATTTAACAGCAGATGTCTCTCCTATTATGATTTATCCAAATGGTTCCAATAAAGTATGCAAACGTATTTACAATAAGAAGTCCCATTCCTGAGCAGAGCCTCATAAATAGTGCTGTGTCAACAATATTTGGAATTATTTCTCAAGATTATAAACATAAAACTTCTAGCTTTAAGTTTAGGTTACTCAAATACTGGATCAAAATCTGTTACTTCCCTGAAAAAATAAAAAATATAAAGAAGCATAATTACATTCATTTCATGGACTTGTATTTTTCTAGAAACAAGAATGGATTAGTTAGGTTTCTTGAAAATGCCATGCTACAGTGTAATTTTTCTGCACAAGTTTCTGAGGCAAAGTATGCCTGGAAAGAGGCATTGGCAGTAAAACACTTAAGCAAAAATGTAGGAGTAGAATTAACACAGGGAATTAATTAATGGGCCTTAGTAGTAGGAAAGTAATAACACAGGATTGCTCATCCCTAGCAAGATGTCTACATATCCCGAACTTGGAAATAACTTCTACTATATTTGGAAGCAAGGGAATATGAAGTATTGGAGAACCTTATGTTTTAAAAGAGAACCTTATGACTCAAAAGAAACCAAGGTGCTGGTATAAAGATAAATAATTATCTATTTAGGAAGAAGAGACAGAAATAGAAGAAACAATTCTATTTCTATTTAACTCCATTGGGAGACCAAAAATCTTTCTATTTGGATTTGTCTACAAGCTGCTTTCTTGAATGCACAACAGCACCACACACGATTGTTAGCCACAGAAGCCCTACTCCTCTACTTACTAATTGATTGTCAGTTTTATCTTTCTGACAGTAATGGCGGATTGGTTCTTGATGCTGTTAGTACTGAAGAATCAGACAATTTTATTAAATTATTGAGAAATAGTGGAATTCCTATTTCTCTCTCCCATTAAAATAGTTGACAATGAAAAACCAACCATCTACAAAAAGAGTGTTAAGAAAACGTGTTGTTTCCTCTTCCCTCTCCACATTGCTGATGACAATTGCTAAGATAGTACAGTGCAGTGGTGGGTTTCAAAAATTGTTGGAACCTACTCTGTGGGTGTGGNATGCTACCCACAATGCAGGAATTGTAGGTGAAGGTGATGGGAGTTTACAGAGACTGCTAAATTAACTTCCTTGATCAGACATATCAAATAACTACATTTATTGTTGACTGGAAATTGGAAATTCCTTATGGACTTTTTGCTTGAAACAGAAAAGTGCATGTATGATTTGTGATTTTTATGAGTAGAAAAAAAATGGATAATAGAAAAAGTGAGTGTTTTTGTAATCATTGAGTAAGAGGTAATTTTGCAATAATATTTATATTTGTTTCAGAGGAAATTATAAAAGCTTTTTGTTTTTTAATTCTTTCTTCCTGCACTTTTGGTTGTTTTTTTCTTCTTTTCTTTTTGTTGTTGTTTCTATTTTGCATTATTTTGGGTTAGTTTTTATGCTCTCTTTAAAACTTTTAATATTTTTTTTAAGACAGCTTAGGCTTCTTTCTTGAGTGGCAGTGTCCTGTCACCTTAGCAACCAGGCTGTCACACTTCTCTTGGCCACTGCCCTTATCATGTTGCTGCCTGGGCTGGTTGCCTTGGTAACTGGTGCGGCAGCCAAGGCAACCAGCCCTAGTTCTGGTCCCCTGCTGGAGGCAGGTCTCCTTCACTTGCCAAGTTGAGGTGAACCATACAATCCTTGTTGGCTTTGAGTTCAGGGGTTTCACATGGGCAGACTGGTATTAAAATCTCTGCTTTCATCCCTGTAAAGGTTGAAACCTTCAGGATTGTTAAAATTAAGGCAACACAATTGGACTTAAAACTAAAGAACAAAAGTAATAAACAATAAATCAGTATAAGAGTAAGACATTTCTCGCTCCCCTGTGTGCTGTTTTCATACCTTACAGTCTTAAAGCTAAGTTCATTATCATAGGAGTTGAACTGAGATTGGATTATATATTAAAGATTCCTGATATACCTGCCTGCCATAAGAGTCTTCTAGTATAGTAAGAAAATACTTAGCTCAGTAGGCGAGTGATTGAATCCTAAGAATTAAATGTTACACTCGTTAACGCAATGATTGTGTGTATNAGTTGAGTGGTTTCTTTCCTGATTATTAAATGAAGGAGCACCTGACACAGTGGCTGTGATAACTATTACCAGGCCAACATCATGGCTAAATGTGAAGAAAGCACTGATATCAAATAACACCAGCTTAATCATATCTTTCTTCCCTTTTTTCTTCCTGATTCAATAGTTCCCATCCACCTATCTCTCCCCAGCAGTCCCTTTCCATTGTCTCCACTCCAGTCCCTATCCAGTAGCTCACAGTAGTTGTAGCTGCTGGTTTCTCAAGCTATGCCTCTAATCCCTGCAAATCCTACAGAATGAATAGATGATCACCAAGCAGGTTAAAAAACAAGGATGCCCCATTCCTAAAAGCATTTGAGGTTCCAGAGAACAATTTCATTCATATTTCAAGACAGTGAGAGGGCCAACCTCTTAGAATTGAGGTAGCTTACTGCTGTAGAGCAATGGAAATGGAGGTACATCTCCTTTCCACTTTATATTCCAAGGAGATGATGGGAGATTCTGTGGGAGCTGTGAAGATACTCATGAAAGGGGAAGGAGTGTTCATCTTTCTCACCTAGTTAGCTCAGTGTTTATATAAGATAAAACTGAGGCAGGCAAGTCTATATTTACACCTCTCACAAGATAACTTGACCTCTTTTCAATGAGTTTTAAGATTGAGAAGAAGATAAAATAGTGAATATATTATATGAGGTATTAACATGGTAAATCTTGTCAGGCTCAGGAAATCAGGAACCAAGATAAGTTCAAAAGCACTACACATTTATACAACCTATACACAAGAATCTGAATCTACTAATGGTCAAGTCAATAATAAAGATAAAAGTCATCAGACTTCATGTGGGGCTGGACTTAGATGTCTTACATGGGCGTAGTGGTTCCAAACTGATAAAGCATTTGATTGCACAACCAGCCTCAGTAG